TTCTGGGTTTGAATAACCATTATCTCTAAAAGTTCTGGGTTTGAATAACCATTATCTGTGAAAGTTCAAAAGAGTATCCACAGCGTCAAATCCAGCCTATTTAGTGTATATTATTATATTACGCAAATTTGGATGAAACTACCCCAAAAACCTTTCTCTTGCAGCTATATGTCGGGTTGATTTTATAAAAATTAATGGGAAAATTGACAACTTCGTTGTTTCTCAACATAAAAGACGAGATATAGATATTTTTTTAAGATTACAAATAAAAATGGAATAGTCGAGTGTATTTGTTTTAAACAGGGCTGCCGAATTTAGCATTTATTTTTGTTCCCTTTTAAATATTTAAGTTTCTGTAAGTGGAATTATTTTTAGAGGACATTGAAATATATGTAAAGGCTGGATGTATCATGTTTTTTTTGGAATACAATACATTTTTTACATTTTACTTATTGAGTAGTAAATATTATGTGTAAATAAATATTATCTTTGGATGATTTTATTCACTACTTTCGTTTCGAATCATAGAAAAGATAGGAAAACAAAAGCAAAATGGCAGGCCTTGAAAATATTGCTTTCAGTTTATAACTGAACCTATCAACAGTTGCCTTTGAACTAAAACGAAACAATAGTAGAACAAAAGTAACTTTTACAGTTCTTTTAATTTTTGCAAATTCGATTTAAGCAAAAACAAGGATAGGTAGAGAGAAGTTTCAAAAGCATATTGAATTTATACAGCTGGTAAGTGCATTAAGCATGGTGAATACTTGGACAGTTTGTTATTCTCATTCCGGGAAGAAAGATAATTAGATTTTGGTTTGGAAAGGCCTTTCGTGTGGCTTTCCACTCCAGAGCCAAACAATCGAACTTCTCTGCGATAGGCCAACCCGCCAAACTACTTTCGAGGAACATATTTTGCAGATTCGTAGAGTGAGTGTGCAACGGTAACATGTCCAATAACAATCATTTGGCGTTCCCGGTTGCCGTTTGCTTTTGCTGATGATTATCGTGATCTTGATATTGAGCACGCACATGGGACACGCTTCAATGCACCTAGAGCCAAAACAATTATTAGCTAGCGCAATTAAAAGCCGTTCATGGCAGTAGCACACCCACACGGGACCGTATATTCAACCGCCCACAGAGCAGTAACCAGCCTTTTGCATCTTCATTTTAGAGCCGCTCAAGTAACCAGAGGACACCACCAACATGGCTGTTAACGTTTACTCCACAAATGTGACGTCAGAGAATCTCTCGCGCCACGACATGCTGGCCTGGGTCAACGATTGCCTCCAGTCGCAGTTCTCAAAAATCGAGGAGCTCTGCACAGGTAAGTGGGCTTGATTCGTCTTAGAAGTGCTTATTGGGATCGACCTACGCTTTTACTTCTAGGTGCCGCATACTGCCAGTTCATGGACATGCTGTTCCCCAATTCAGTGCCCGTTAAGCGTGTCAAATTTCGTACAAATCTGGAGCACGAGTACATACAGAACTTCAAGATATTGCAGGCGGGCTTCAAAAAGATGTCTGTGGATAAGGTAATGCTTGCTCGCTTCAAATATTTTCCTTTCTTTAGACATTTTTTATTTGATTAAACACACACAAACCCAACCAATCCCGAGAATGTACAGTGGTCAAGGGCACGGTACAGTGGAAGCGCTTAAAGCGAATATTTTCCGCTCTGAGCAGCTGTCTACTGTACCAATCAACTTTTGTATGTTGTAACTAACTACGATTTCCGTTACAAATCAACAAACCAACAACACAACTACGCAAACAACAACGACCATAGATCATACCAGTTGATAAACTGATTAAGGGACGCTTTCAAGATAACTTCGAGTTCCTCCAGTGGTTTAAGAAGTTCTTCGACGCCAATTACGACGGCCGCGAGTACGATCCGGTGGCCCAGCGGACCGGGGTCAAGCTGGGCAATGGCAACGGACACGGCAGCAACGGAGGCAGTGGCGTGGGCAGTAGTAACAACGATCTTCACCTGATGCACCGACGACCAATGCAGGCGCCAGCCGGAAGCAGCCGCATGGCACCACGGGTCATCGCTCAGACTGCTACGGGTATGGACTGGGATCTCTCGAGGCCACGAACTCCGGTGTTGGGACCGCGCCATTTGCTTGCCATTTCATTTTGAGTTGCGAAGCAAAGAAACGTGAAGCACGCAGCGGGGCCATGCAGAACTGGGATGGCACACCACACCACTTCACACAAAGCTACACCCACCGCATTGGTCTTGAGCAGCAGGAGCACCAACAACAACCCAACAAGCACACATATTCAGTCGCATCCCAGCACAAAGTACACAAATCGGAGGATCTATTGTCCCACATCCAAACCCACTAACCTCTCTTCATCCTCGTGCACAGTGATGGGAAGCACCTTGTATTCGTTTCGTGTGTTCTTTGTAAACGGTTCCCTCGACCTTTTAGTTGTTATAGATTTTTAGTAAACAAATATTTCTTACTCTTGGGAATATATTCAGTTAAAAGTATTATAAGTACATATTAAGGGAAGATGTAGGAATTAACTTAAAACTATAAAAATTAACACGTTATTTTTCAAGACCCCTTCTCATCACTATTTTAAACATTGCAAAACGATGCTTTGGCTTGCCAAAGGATTTCCTGTTGTCCCAAATTCATGCTGTGTATTTGTTGATCCCTATTTTGTTCCCAATGCGTTTGGTTTCACCACACACTGTCTCACCTGTCTGCATATTTCTCACCCATTTTACTTTTAGATTATACCCATTGACAAATTGATCAAAGGTCGCTTCCAAGATAATTTCGAGTTTTTGCAATGGTTCAAAAAGTTCTTCGATGCCAATTACGATGGCAGGGATTACGATGCCAGCGCGGTGCGCGAGGGAGCCCCAATGGGCTTCGGCTCGGGAGCGGGGAAATCCCTGCCCGGCACGGCGGCCAGCGGCGTGGCCAGCAGCTATCGACGTGCCCCAACCGCAACGACGCGCCCGGCGACGACGTCTGCAGTGAAGCCCAGTATGTTGTTTTGGTTTGGTTCCCTATTTGTATCCCCCTATCGCTATCTATCTATCCTTTCATTATCATAACGCACAGTCCACATGATCAGACAATTGTACATATTGCATGCCATGGTAGCCAAGTAGATGGCTACTCGTATTTAAGAATTCTAATGTGCATCCCGCAAGTGAACACAAACACAAAATACGAAATGCTAAGCTGTCTGTGCTTCACGTTTGTTGAATTCTTGAGCTTCTATATCCGCGGCCTGGTCGTTCGCCTACTAACCTTGCCCTGTTTCACCCATTCAGCAGTCTCCAAGGTGCTGCCACGCACGAACAACGCTGCCCCAGCGAGCAGAATAACTGCCGGAGCCAACAGCACGGGCACGGTCAAGAAGAACGACGCTGGCAACTCAGTCAACAATCAGCAGATCGAAGAAATGTCCAACCAGGTGGGTGATGAACAAGAACATAATCAAGAAACAGCTAATAACGTTAAGGATCAGGTCATGGACATGCGCATAAACCTGGAGGGATTAGAGAAGGAACGAGACTTTTACTTCTCCAAGTTGCGGGACATTGAAATTCTGTAAGTTTGTGACTTAGCGATTCCTTAATTTCTGGACACCGCGCTAACTGGTCTCTCATTTTCTATAGTTGCCAAGAGGCTGATGATGGCGAGGCGCATCCGCTCATTCAGAAGATATTGGACATCCTATATGCGACTGAGGTAGGACATGTCCGTACACTTTTTCGTCCGGCCCTCCAATCGCTTAGACTATATATTTAACATTTTCAGGATGGTTTTGCGCCGCCAGACGATGCACCACCAGAGGACGAGGAGTATTAATTTAAAAAGAGAAAAGCAAAAAACAACCCACGAAATTCATTTGCTGCATACATATTCAAAACATAAGTCAAGAGAAAGATGAAGGGGACATAAATAAAAATTTATTAATTAGACGGGAACCAAGGAGACGTTAAGCAAACGAGAAGACTTACGAATGCGTATAGTGTTTAATTCCCAAAGCCGAGGTTGACAACAGGAGCGAAACGTTATTCTTCGAACATTTCTTTAATTCAAATATGCCGCTGCTCAAAATGATTGAGTGCGGTGCTTATTTTTATATTATGCAGATCTTTCGATTCAAAATTATGATCGCAAATGTTATCCTGCGTCCTGCTGTTGCTGATGAGAGTGAACATCATCACTAACCATTTCATATTTAAATTGTTTGTATATTAGCGGAATAAACGAAACTTAAATCTCACACTATCTAATGGAAAGCCAGATGTCACTTCAAAAATCTTTGTTAAATAGACAAAGATCTAATTAAGAAATTCTTTTAAAAATCGCCGTTTATTAATTTACTATGATTTAGGCCGGATTAGTTCGTCTCTGTATCATATGCTTTACGCAACAAAAACAAATTTAATACATTTTTATTTTTTTTGTAAAAGTTTAATTTTTTTATTTACTGACTTTAATTGTTTTGAGTGTTGTATGTAGTGGATAAATGAGCCGAATTTGTATAATCTAAAAAAATGTTTAACAATGAGATGGCATTCATCATTTATTCGTACTTTCAATTTCTATTTTTAAATACTTGGCTTCATAACAAAATGATTATATAAAATAAGTGATTTTGCTCTCGATTTTTTTAAGTTCTATATTTATGTGTAAAAACAGGTAGAGCTCGTTAAAAAAGTTTGAATAAAAAGCGAACATCTTTCTATTTTCTAAACACATTTTTGTTTTTTGGCTTTCTAATTTCGCTTTAACTGGAAGAGTGCACCTGGCCGGAAACTTAAGTGAAAAAACACCGATCCCACCCTCTTCATTTACTATTCTCTGATCATTGTAAATAATTTGTTAAAGCTTGTAACACTATAACTATATACACATAATAGTCAACATGTGCTTTCATCAGACGCAAATAAAATGTATTTATATGTGCCCGCACATTAACGTTCTATAATCTAGAATAAAAACATGTGTTGCTTGATTCAAAATTAATGCATTTCTCATTTTCATCCACGAGTACATCAACGAAAGCTTAAACTATTTCACGGCTGTTTGGATGTGAGGTTGCTTATGGGTGCCGTCGCAGAAGGGTCTATGGGTGGTCTGTTTGCAGTTGCACAGCCAGTAATCTCCTGATTTTTCCACCTTGAAGCGGATGGGCCTGGAAGATGTGAAATATTTTGAATAGGTTGTCATTCATAGTCCTATCACTTGCCTTTGCTTAATCTTGAGAAACTCGTTTTTGTGCATGCCATCGCAAAGGGGCTGAGACTTTGACTTGCCGCACAGGCACCAGCTGTAGGTTTTATCTGTGGGGGTCGCGAGTTGTGGTTATGTAAACACCGTTAAAGACACTTTCCTTTTGGGATGAGTGAAACGTACCTTTATCCAGGTGTATCTTGAAGGGTCGCTTGTCGAAGATTGCTCCGTTCTCCTTTTGCAGAACGGCCGTTTGCTTGTCCTCGAGCAGATTCTTGGGTATTGTTTTGACCACTGCCCCCGATTCTGCGTTGGAGCTGTAGCAGGCCTGTTGGGGAAACACCTGACATTTAGTGGGTGATTGTTTTTAGCTATTGGATGCTTACCTTCAGCATCCAAGACGCCCGCAGGTTCCGTCTCAATATTATTGACATGTTGCGGCTGTTTTATTTATTTTCTTTATTTCTTCTGGTTGCCCTATCGAAAGTATCGATTAGGGATGTCGGAAATATATCAAAATATCAATATATCGATATTTTTCCTCTTAAAAATAATATTATCATCGCGATATTTTTTGGGCAAAAAAAGGCGATATTGATATTTTTTGAGAGGATATTTCCGATATTTTATGTTTGGTCACTCTTAAAGCCGAGTACTCAAATCGACAAATGAGTATGCAAGCGTAAAGCCTTGTACTCAGATCGACAAACGAGTACGCTAGCGCAAAAACTTTAATCTTTCCAGTGTGACCAGCATATCGAGAGTTCTTCAGAATTAAGCGTGCTACGGTCGTACTGTCAATCAGCTGAGTTTGTTGACAAGCAGTTGAAATTCAAATATCGTATTTGAGGGAAAGAGCCTTTAAATGATATTATCAACTACCTTGGCAAAACAATTCTGCCGCTGTACAAAGAAATTAAAAAACAATACAATTTAAATTGAACATATGTTTGTTTTAATTTACTGATAATTATTTGCTGATTTAAAGTTCATAGCTGCACTTTTTTTGTGTTTTTTCGTAAATTTTTGATCTAAGAATTATTTGGCTCTGAGAAGAGGCACCCCAGATAGTATTAATGTTGTTTTGTCCTCACATTTAAACTCCTGCAATCGACTTTTGCGGGTTTTCTGTTTTTTCCCTCCATTGTTTAAAATTTTCAGTGAGAAGCGCACGCCAAAAGATTAAATTTTTTATTCTTTTCGCTACGGCTCACCCAAAGTTAATTTCTGCAGACTGGCAACGCTGTGCAATTTTCTGGTATTTTTTTCGTCGATCTGAGTACCGCCGTGAAAAAAAGGTCCGACGGAAAGTGAACGCCAGTTGTTTGCCTCTCGCTCTCTCTCATGACTGGCGTACGGGTTTCGTCGATCTGAATACTAGGCTTTAAGCCAGAAGTGCTCTCAGTGGAAGAACTGAATATTTTTTTTCGCAATTTTTGCAATATTCTCCAACCTTTTAAAAAAGCTACTGATAATGTGAGCGGAGATTCTTAAGTGACAGTCAGCTTAGTGATTCCTATGATTTCTATGATTAATACAAAATTAAAAAAGCTTATATGGTTACCGCTGAGGGCTATCAAACAAAGGATACCATTCTAAAAATATCAGAAAAGCGATTGAGTGGTTTGCTGGAGAGTTGCTTGAGAGTGTATAATATTTGTTTTTTTAAGATCAATGATTTCTATTCACTTTTTAAATAAAAAATAGTCTATTGTGTCTCTAATTGATCTTATTTGCAGTTCATGGTTGATTATACGTATTCTTAGGCCTATAAAAGACCCAACAGGAAGCCTTTATTAAAATTTAGCTGAACATTAAAAAATATCAAAAATACTCGATATATCGATATTTTCTTACGATATTTTTTAATATCATCGAGTGATATTTTTTAAACAGGAAATATTATCAATACGATATTTTTTCAAAATCCAACAACCCTAGTATCGATAAGCATATACTGCCTTCATTGACGGTTTTGTCTGGTCACACTTCTTTGTTTTAAAAGTTTTTTCGTGCACTTTTTGAAGGCTTCTTTTTAAATGATTAATATTTTCAATTGACTTAAATTTTCTAATAAAATTTATATTATATTATATTTATTCTGGAAAAAGGGAAAACTTAAACAGCTTCAGCAAGTGCTGCCAGACCGCCACAATTTAAAGTGCTGTATAACGCTTTAACAGAATGTTATCGAAACTTATTTTTATCGATGCTTTATCAGCCGTTATCGCTAGCCAAGGCCGTCGCTCTAAAATTTGATTCTACAAATTCAGAATCAGTTGCGCTGATAAGCAGAGATATGATTCGGATGCGCCTAGGAAAAGCCTCCCCGAGTTCGCAGCTATTTTTGCTACTATCACAGACATTCATCTGAATGAAAGCTCGTTATATACCCTATACCGACTTGGAATTCTAGCTGGCAGACACACACGCCAGATATTCCAGATAACACCATTTATCAAAAACGTCCCCGTTAGACAAACTGATTAGCCCGACAGCCAGAGATTTTCTACGTAATATACTTTATTTTACAATACAAATACTACACATGCGGGGGTGCCTTAGAAATAGTTCCCAATTAAATCTCAACCGATCCCAGAAACCTCTTTAACTTTGAGTAAACGATTTAACATTAACCTAACAGTAGGTTTTCAAACAATTATTTCAAATAAATTCCAGAACTCTTAAAAAACACAGTAACAGCGGTTGGATTCCAAATTAATAGCCCCGAAAATCTCCAGAGATTTCTAAAAACACCCTTCCAGATGGAGTCTAGAATTCGGCGTGAAACGGATAGTACTTGTGGCCGGCCATTCCCGAGAAGGGCACTGTGCGCTGCCCCGTGTGGTACTGCTCCATGCTGGCGACGTCCTCCGGACTCAGCTCGAAGTCAAAGACACGGAAGTTCTCCTCGATGCGAGCCTTGTTCGAGGACTTGGGCAGTGGCACCACGCCCAACTGGACCAGGTACCGCAGGCAGATCTGGGCCGTGGTCCTGCCGTACTTCTTGGCCAGCTGCTGGGCGTGCTCGTCGTAGAGGAATGGCGGCCACTGGCGGGCGGGCTGGGGGGCGTGCCAGCGGGCAGTAGGCGCAGATGACTAGGCCGTGACGCTTCGCGTGCTCCCGGAGCTGGCTCTGCTGGAAGCCGGGATGGCACTCCACCTGGTTAACCACCGGCCGGATGCGGCAGTTGGCCAGCACCCGCTCCGTCTGCGCCGCATTGAAGTTGGACAGCCCGATGCTGCGCACCAGGCCCAGATCCACCAGCTTTTCCATCTCCCGCCAGGTGTCTAGGTAGTCCACATCCGTTAGTTCCAGGGTGCCGTGCACATTGCTGTCGTTGTGGAACTTCTGGCCCACGGGCATGTGCATCAGGTAGAGGTCCACGTACTCCAGGGCCAGGTTGCTCAGGCTCAGGCGGCAGGCGCGCTCCACCAGCGCGGTGTCGTGGTGAATTCCGCCCAGCTTGGTGGTCACGAACACCTGCTCGCGGGTCACCACTCCCTCGGCGATCTTCTCGGCGATCGCCTGACCCACCTCCGCCTCGTTCTCGTAAACGAAGGCGGTGTCCAGGTGCCGGTAGCCCACGTCGAGGGCGTGTCGCGTCGAGTGGTACGCGTCCGACTCGAAGGACTTCCAGGTGCCCAGGCCCAAGATCGGCATCTTGCGCCCGTTGTTCAGCTGGATGGTGGGAGCCAGATTGGTCATCGTGTCGCTGGCGCTGATAATTAACGCTGTGCAAATTGGACGCTTCTGAGGCGGAGTGATTATGTTTGTGATGTGGCTACGGAACAGCAATCTCAATCTGTTCCAGCACGTCGAAGGTTTCGCGGGCAACTGTTGGCCCGCTCAGCCGGTTTCGTTGATTTTGTCACGGCGTTTCGGTGGAGCAGCTGCTGTGTCATCCGGTGACGTCATGGACAACGCGCGGTTATTCCCAACCACCAAAAGCTTTTTGATCTGAGCTTTTGGCGCTCACTTTTTAGCAGGTAATCGTTGTTCAACAAATATAAATCGATATATAAATGCTATTTTAAAGTTATAAAGCGCAGAAGTGCATTTCTTTGCTCATTTGCTTAATTTTATATGTTCTACTCATCCAACACATCAATCAAACTTTAGAACAAGCAAAAGGGATTTTTTAAATCCGACAAAACAACCATTATTCATGATCGGAACCATTAACTGATCAACAAAACCGCTCAATCATTCAAGTAACAATTTTATAAAAGCTCATGATTCATAGTGTTAACAGTTGGAGAAAACTTGGCCTCATTTTGTAAAACCATGGTATATGAGATCAAAATATAAATAAGCCAAACAATTGTTCGTGTTAATATTGCTTATCGTGTATTCTTAAGTCCAGATTGGCAAATTAGTAAAAAACTCTATACTGTACAAAAAGGATAATATATAAAAATTTCGATTATCTTACTTTTTATACCCTTGCAAAGGGTATTATAATTATGGTCAAAAGTGTGCAACGCAGTGAAGGAGACATCTCCGACCCTATAAAGTATATTTATTCTTGATCAGGATCGCGTCCTGAGTTGATATAAGCATGTCCGTCTGTCCGTCTGTCCGTCCGTCCGTCTGTCTGTTTCTACGCGAACTAGTCTCTCAGTTTTAAAGCTATCGAATTGAAACTTTGCACACACCCTTATTTCCTTTGCACGCAGTATATAAGTCGGAACGGACGGGATCGGCCGACTATATCCTATAGCTGCCATATAACTGATTGATCGGAAATGTTATAACTTTGGTGTTTTTAAAGTTAGGAAGTTGGGATTTTTATGAGTGTTAAGAATGTATCAAATGAATAATTTTGGAAAATATAATTTACAGAATATTCTGCAAGGGTATTTCAACTTCGGCTCCGCCCGAAGTTAGCTTTGCTTTCTTGTTGTTAGATAAAGTGGTCTATGAAGTATACTAATTAATTTGATTCATTGTGCAAAAAATGATAATACAATGGTGTAAAAACCCAATCGATCAATGATATTATTGTCTTGTTTGATTCACAGTTATTCTCAGCATTAAAAAATGCGATAGTTTGTTTTAAAACAGATATCTCTCCCCATAAACACGAATAAAAAACAAGTAGGGATTTGCTAACACATAAATCTTTATTTGAATATTAGTTGAGTTCAAAATGTTAGACATTCAAAGATACATGCTGGTTTACACTTAGTTTCAACATTTAAGGTTTGCCATTAAAATATTTACTCTGCTTTGCATAAATCTCACTTCGCTCATCGCAATATGGGTATACACGTAATTAGTATATGTAATCTGGTAGTACGGTTAAAAGATCTCTGGTTCTGCTACACAATATGCACGTCTATTCCATACTCGATGGATTTAATTACTTCTAAGTGGTTTGTTGGTGTTGTCTTCTTACTGTGAGCTCTTGGGAGCCTCCTTCATCCAGTATTACGAACTATTTATTCTATTTTGCTATATGGTAGGTAAGTAAACCTCAAGATTGTTTTGCGTTAGACATGTAAACACTGATTTGAACATTTAGTGGTTAGTACTAGTTACGGCTCGAACATTTACTGACTGATTATGAATGATTGGCATTAGCTATATTTTGGTAACGGAGGTATATACGTATAGCATGAATATATCTGTTTGTGTGCATCCGTGAGTTACCCAATGATGTTGAATTTATGCAAAGTGCTTAGGTAATATTGGAAAAATTAAAAGTTCATAGAGTTATGTTTTGAGATTGTCAAATCGAATCACAAGTAAAATTTGAAATTTTCCCTTTTTAGAGTACTTGCATATTAAATATTTTGGTATATGTATATAGTATTTATATCTGTATTATTGAAAGTCCACAACAATAGCAAGAATTGCTGTGTATTGTTGGCATTAACATAGCAGTACTCAAAAATATAGAAACATTCTTGGTTTTGACACATAAGGGTTTCCTCTTTTCGGAAACGATTACTTAATAATAGGTTCTACGAACTATATGCTATATTTATGGATCCGTTAGATAAATATTTAATACATTATATACTCTTCTCGTCCCATTAATGCTATAAGAGTTGTTTTATTTTTATCGAAAATTTCCTCAAAGGATTGTTAGGTTGAGTCGGGTTTATAACGCCTACACAATTCTATGCGGATGATTGTGATAGATTCTACCCGTTTCCGAAGCACGTGGTGTAGATAAAGTAATTAAAGGCTTTCCAACTCTACTTACAAACTGTTCCATACTAAAATTGGTGTTGCGTTGCTTGTAAATCAATATTACATTTTTACATCTCATTAACTATAAACTAAACAGTATTGTATCGTTTGAATCGGTTCGCTATATCTATAAAAGTTGTATTGAAAATTCGTTTGCTCTTGCTTGTATTACTTTGTTTGAGGGAGAAACCACTGGATACTTAATGTCTTGGATTACAGTTAAATATATATTGTTTGTTCGATTGGTGTACGTAAAGGAAAAAATGTTATTAAACACGACAATTATATTCTACGCATCATGGTCAAAGTTTTGGTTACATCTAGGAATGGAGTTTGTTTATGAGATAAATCGTTGTTTGAGAGACCTTTACTTGGGAGAGGAGTTGGGTTAGAATGGTAACTACAAATACAGGATTATCTACTACGATTTCATACTAGAAAATTCGTTTTACCCATAGGGTCGGCATAAGGCATTTCTTCCATTTTACGCCAGACCCCACAGGTCAAACGGCTTTCAGTAGAGGTTGACTCTTGAAAAAGAAAAACTCTTTAGTCGGTTATCCGACTTTAGGATACTCGGTACACATATTTTGTATTAAAAAGGCTTTCATTTATTTTTCTACATTAGTTTTTTATGTAAAATATTTGAATCATTCTAAGTAGGTGATTCCAAAAAAAAAGTAGTATTCTACATTGCGCTGACCGTGACAAAGAAAAAACTTGACTGGCTTGTGAATTTCTGTGATATAAAATCGAGATGCATAAACTTTGATTGTTGTCCATACAGAGGGTGTAGCCCTTATTCTATGAGTACCGAATATATTGATAACAACAAATATATACAGCTGTGTTCAAAATAGGAGTAATGTTGTCAATGGAAAACATTTAAAAATTGAGATGTTTTTTTATGAATCGTTTACAGATCTTTTTTTTAATCTCATTAATGAGAAAACCGAGTGTTCTTTTTGGAACACTCTCTAGATTACCAAAAATATAGGAAAAAAAGAGCACGCCCACACCTTTTTATATATTTCTCATTATGCATTAAGTGCTCTTCCCATTCAATTAAGTTGTATTTGAAGTATTTCGATTGAAATTTTTTAATTGTACATACTACCCATGTTTTGAACACAGTCATAATCAGTGCATAATCCATGTAAATGGTTTTACACGTCTATATGTACAAAACTACAACTAATAAGGTCCCTCTCCAGTGTTTAATGTTTTATATGCACTTACGTATGCATATTTAATAGCTTACTTAACATAAAAAGGACTACATTTTCTACAAAATAAAACAAACAATGGTTGTGTAAATAAATATTAATAAATGGTTTCGTATTTTATTTGCGAGTTGCTGTACTTAGGAGCGTAAAGAATTACCAAATGAAAGAAAAACTCGAAACTAATAATAGAATAACTTATCCGCTACATAGCTTACATGTTAATAACTAGCTTCAACTAGACTGTTAAATAGTTGGATTTAGTTTAGGGTTTTTAAAAAAATAGATTCCATGCTCTTGCATACGTTATACAATTTTACAAATTATTTTACTAGCTTGCGTAGGATTTATATAGTAAAGTTTTGTAGGAAATTATGCAGTTTAGTGCTGTTTGTTTTGATGTTGCCTCCTCTAAATGTTTAGTATCACACACGTCCAAGTTTTGTTTTTATTCGTTTCGGTTTCCGCCGGGATTTCCGAATTCTAAATTTGTTTTCCATCATTCGTTTTGTACTAAAGCAAAAAGTTTCTCGTTTGCATTGAAATGCGTTTTTGGGTTTCAGTTCATTAGAAGATTGAGATAGTTCATAGTCGGGGTCATAGATACACTGTAGCTTAAGCTAATGCGAATGCGGATGTGGATGAAAGTTTGTCCGGGTTGTGATGGTTGTGATGGCCGTGCTCCAAATTGCCGTTCCCGATAACAACCCGGCTAAGCTCATAACTGTGCAGCTAATTGCGGTTTGATTAACACACACACTCGGGGTTAGACACATACTACGCGCTACAAGCTAATCGGATAACAGGGCCTTTCGGGCTTAGAGCTTCCTGGTGGGCTCCACCTTCTGGGACATGGCGGTGAGCACCCGCTGGTTGTCGATGACGCGGAAGCTGCTGATGTACGACCTCACCTCCCCCTCGCTCTTCGGCGATGGCGGCTCCAGTCCTGCGGCAAATCGAACTTTAATGAGCACTTTACTTTTCGGATGGCGGACTTACCCAGACTCCGGGAGCGACAGAAGCGGATGGTGCGCATCGTCTGGGCCATCATGTGCATCTTCTCGAAGTTCACCAGGCCGTCCAGGCTGGTCTTGTTGCCCTCGTGGGCGAAGGTCATGTCCTTCAGCAGCAGCGGCATGAACGGGATCAGCGGCGGCTGCAGCTTGCCCACGAACACGCGGTACGCCCTGTGGTTGCGACTGGGGTCGATCAGCGCCTCGAACTCCTGGAAGATCTTCCTGAACTTCGACGGGATCTTCTCCCAGGTTTGCTGCAGCCGGGACACCGCCATGTTGGACAGCCCCATCACGACAGCGAAGAAGGCGTTCAGATTCTGGTACTCCTTGCAGCTGGAATTAATGAATGAAGCCGATTAATATTGTGTCTTTATCGGTAAAAGGCTTTCCACTAGATCTATTATGATTTTTATTTGATTACTTTTGAACTTGAATCCAAAATCTTTAAATTCATAAGTTTTACTAAATAACATAAGTTGTATTTCAGGTATACAACATATATTGTAACAGGACAATAGGTAGTGAGTATATAATTTTTAGGACCCAATGCATCCAAAAAATCCTATAAGTCATATTCTGTTTTTCAAAATGATGTTACGGAATATATAGCATTTTATCAAGTATGGAGGATTTAGTTATAATTCTTTCTGGCATTAAGAAAAAGCAATTATAATATTGGCAGATTGATTTTTCTATTGATGCAATCAAAAACAAGAAAGGAAAGCTAACTTCGGGCGGAGCCGAAGTTGATATACCCTTGCAGAATACTCTGTAAATTATATTCTCCAAAAATTATTGATATGATGCATTCTTAATACTCATAAAAAATCGCAACTTCCTAACTTTAAAAACACCAAAGTTATAGCATTTCCAATCGTTCAGTTATATGGCAGCTATAAGATATAGTCGGCCGATCCTTATGAACTTTGGTAGGTCGGATTGATTGGCCAAAAATAAAACCCATAGAAAATCCCAACTTCCTAACTTAACAAACACCAAAGTTATGGCATTTCCGATTAATCAGTTATATGGCGGCTATAGGATATAGTCGGCCGATCCTTATGAAATTTGGTAGGTCGGATTGATTGGCCAAATATAAAACCGATAGAAAATCCCAACTTCCTAACTTTACAAACACCAAAGTTATGGCATTTCCGATCAATCAGTTATATGGCAGCTATAAGATATAGTCGGCCGATCCTTATGAAATTTGGTAGGTCGGATTGATTGGCCAAATATAAAACCCATAGAAAATTCCAACTTCCTAACTTTACAAACACCAAAGTTATGGCATTTCCGATCAATCAGTTATATGGCAGCTATAGGATATAGTCGGCCGATCCCGGCCGTTCCGACATATATACTGCGTGCAAAGGAAAGAAGGCTGTGTGCAAAGTTTCAACTCGATAGCTTTAAAACTGAGAGACTAGTTTGCGTAGAAACAGACAGACGGACAGACGGACAGACGGACAGACGGACATGGCTATATCAACTCAGGAGGTGATCCTGATCAAGAATATATATACTTTATAGGGTCGGAGATGTCTCCTTCACTGCGTTGCACACTTTTGACCAAAATTATAATACCCTCTGCAAGGGTATAATAATAAAGAGAAAAGGCCCTTTTACATATTTTGGAAATAATCAATGTACTCATTTATTTAATGAGTCCAGTATATCCTATTCAAAAGACATATTTGCATAACTTACTAGGCGGCCAGCTTGATGAACTTCCGGACCAGACCTACGCGTTTACTCAGACTTGGCGTGGATACCAGTTCGGTGACAATCCAGTACTGAACCTCGTTGAAGCGGCGCAGGAAGACATCCAAGTTGGCCGTGATCTGTGGGTGAAATGGAGAAATTCGATCAATTTGGGAAAGTTTAGTCAAATAGTTTCGGGCCTTCTTTAATTTCTTTGAGTGGCAAAACTCTGGGCTAACTTAATTTGCCAGCAGATGACAAATGGCAACAGTTTTGCGGTCAGTGTCTGGCAGGCTAATTACCCAAACGAGACTTTTGAGACTTTTTGGCAAAAGTTGGCTTGCTATCTTACCTTGCCAAAGTGATGCCGCCCGAAGGTGTGATACAGTAATTCGTATTCATGAACGGCCCAGAACAGGTCCCACTCGAACAGGGTGATGTGGTAGGCCAGCTCCTTGGTGCTCAGAATCTCCAGGTCGATGTCCACCCCCTCGGTGGGGCCCTCTTGCTCCTGCAGCTGAGTCTGTGGGAAAAGCAGGGATGACAAATGGCCATACAACATCCAGGGACAACCGCTTACCAAGGCATCCAGGTGATCCTTGACGGAGACAAACAGGCGGCCATTGAGCGACAGACCTGTTGGTATGCTGACATCGTTGTCCTTGAACACGGAACGCTCCCCGTTCGACTTCACCTCCACCAGGACGAGGTCCTCGGGTCCCCGGTTCAGCTGCAGCTTGTCGGCGGCACATGCCTTTATAAGCTCCGCCGTGGTGTGCATGGGGAATCGCAGGGTGCAGTAGGTGTGGTCGGCGCAATAGACGCGGAAAATTACTGAAAAACAAAATTGTATTAAGGAACCAGAATGTTTAAAGCCGGTGAACTAAATATTTTTTTATATAGTCTACAATACTGGACTTAAATCAGACATTTATTTATACAGTTTAACTTCCTTAAATAAAACTTCCCTATTAGTTGAATTAATTATATTGGCAATGGAAAATAAATTTTCATCGTGATATGTATTCTATAACTCGAATTCTCTATCTCTAACAGATGGTAGTTTTATTATGAAGGTTTATGTATTATACTATAAATATTTTTTGTTTGCAATATTTTAAATTTTGTTGGACTGTCGTTCAATTTGTATTTCTCTGTATTTCATTAAGAGAAAATATTTAAGTCTCTGAAAGACGTTTGTCTACTTAAGTTTCGGCTTAAAGCCCATAAAAAGTTCTTTAATATATATTTCAAGATATTGAAGGAACAAATAAATTTTTATGATGCTTGTGTTGGTCCTAAGAACTACTTTCTCAGTGGGAAACGAGGGGGACACTTACTGTCATCGTCTGGTCGAATGACCGTCTTCGAGGGCGTCGCATTGCCGCTGAACAGACAGATGGGCTGGCCGTTGGGCGGCAGCTTCCACTTCTGGCCGGCGTTCTGGTTGCGGTCCTCCTGGTAGCGCGCCATCTGGGTGAGCACGTTGTGCACGATGCTGGTCTCCTCGTTCAGGTCGGGATCGGCCTCCACCTCGGCGGCCAGGTCCTCGATGAAGTCGCAGACGCTGGGCTCCTCGAAGGCCGCATGCCGCACGGCCATGACCCACTTCTGCATGAACTGGATCACGCGCTTCTTGAAGTTGATTATGTACTCCCGATCCTCGGGCGTCTGGGCATCCTCATGGGCATCGCAATGGAAGGTACACGGCGGTTAAGGGGGAAACCAATTACGTTTTGGCCTGGCGAATGGGATTAAGAGTGGGATTTGCTGGGTTCTGGATACCTCCTACACTACCAAACAGGGTCGAGTAGGACTCAAAATGGTTTTTCCGACCTGCGGAATCTGGTTATTGATTTCTGTCCCGCATTTCTCCTAACCTTGTTGCTTAGTCCTGCCTGCTTATTAAACTCATCACGTATTTCGATGCAGATTGTGAGATTAGTTTCAGGCATCATTGAGCAGAGTTTTACCTCCCCCATAGAAGCATTCCGAAAACGCTGACCCAAGTCATCATTGTGGCTTTGTTTCGACTGAAGTTGAATTGTTCTCCCTGCGCCGAAACGGAAGTGTTGCTTGTTAGCATTTTCTGCTACACTCGAGCCCAAAAAGCCACCCGAATTTTCCGCACACCCGCGCCCACACCCACATCCACATCCACACCCAAACCAGCTGGCCGGGATCGGGGTCATGTGTAGAGGCTTGCGTGCTGCCGGCACTTAAACTGTCGCTGTGGAAATGTTTCGTGTTCCCACCCATGGGAACGTGACTCGGGCACGAGATGGCCTAGTCCAAGAGGGGTTTTCTTTTTGGTGCACTTTTAAAGTGCACCCTGAACCTACCTAAACGGACCTTGGAAATGATACAAGAGCTACAGGGGAATTTAAAGTGGTTCACGGCGCAGATTAAGTTCTGAGACGTGGCTGGAATTGCCAAGGACTGACTCAAAGGCTTAAAATATTTTTCGGTGATTTTTGTGTTTTAAAAAGGATATTAGTTGGCCAATTCATCAACCAGCTGCACGACGGGCATGAATACGATGTGCGTGAGCAGGAAGTCGTCCAGAAAGGGGTCCATTCCGCCGACCGACTGACCCAGTCGCGTCTCCAGCAGGTGCTCCAGCATCTTGGCCGGAGTTCCCGACATTACCGTGTATCTAGGTAGAAAAAATAAATTTTAAATATTTTATCTTTTCTAAGTTGACTATCTACAAACGGATTAACTATTTAAATCCTCTTAAAGGTCATAGTTAATTTATTAACAGCATGAGATATTTCCTTCGTTTCTATAATCTTTTTTTCGACTGGAAGGATATGTACGAAAAATGTCATATCACAAATTATTTAAATGAATGAGAGAGTTTGTCTTATTTGTTTTACAAACATTTGCGATGCTTTTATGATGAAAAAGATTGGAAAAACTTTTGGTTTTGCTTTTTAATTTGATTAACTTTTAGTCAACTTCAATGTACCCTTTTCATGGAAAACCTAATTTCAAAACAAGTTTTTGAATAAATGTTATTGTTTTACTTATTTTGTAAAAAAATACTACTTTTAATAATTTAAAGGAAAATGAATGTTTGTAGATATTAATTATATTATTGATTTAAAACAGGTTGTATAGCGCCCTTTTTTCATTTTAATCGGAGACAATACTAAGGATATCAAAGTTGGCATTCCATCGAAGCGAAATGTGGCCGTAAAACCAAATACCCGCGACCCATCAAATCAGAACCCGGCTGCGACTTTCAATTAAATTTGAAGGCGCATTAAAAATTGATTAGACACTCACTTAAATGCCGAATGCTGTCCACGTTGCTTGGCCACGCGCTCGAGCACTAAAACATCCTTGCCGTGCTCCTGCAGTCTCAGGGTATTGGCCTCCACATCGCGCAGTATCCTGTTGAAGTGTTCCTTGTCCACGCGCAGCAAGTGGCAATTGTTCTCCTTGAGTACAATGGTAGCAGCTCTGCCGGAAAGTTTGATAACTAATTAGCAATCTCTTGGAAGGCATTTGGAATAAAAATATACTCATTAAACGATTCTGTTGCATTTAATGGTTAAAACTTTAACTAACAAGCAAATTTCCACCAAGCAAACTGCATTTGATAGGTTACAAAAATGCAGTATATGCGCGGTCGCATAAATAGCTTTAAATATGAAAAATATATGCTCTGCTGTCGGTATGCACTGCTTTTGAGCCTGCCACTACGGAAAATATTTCAAATTGGATTTCAGCGGTAGCAGCCATCAAAGTTGCTCCTGCAGTTGGCAAATGAACTCAATCGATATGCGAAATTATTTACCAGAATGCAGCTATATAAGCACGATTCACGGCAGCGCGATTTATTATATTTGTTGAAGGCAAACATCCTCTCTGACAATTTTAATTAACCAAAAAGCTGGATGGAAGCTTAAACTAGTTATCCTTTAAATGTGTGCACTGTAAACGGAAATGCACTCGCATTTAATTCGCATATACTTGTAGTTCATATAGTGGAAAAAATACCTTACTGCAAAGGTACTTTTCAACGTATTGAAGTTGTGTTTTGCTCTATTTTAACGGGCTGTAGCTCTTTGATATCAAACAATGGGAGAGAAATCCATTATTTGGCAACTCTTTGATAGGTCCCTTCCTTTGCCGTCCGCTCAAGCGACAGCTTAGGAAATGGCTTACAAATTGGACATGGGCCTTGGCTAATATTTTGTTTCAATTTTCAATTGTTTGCCTTAAAATGGCACACAATGCCGCTCGTTATCTGTCGCTGTTGTGGAGGTTGTTGCCTGTTATCTCGTCCGTTGCACCAAGTGCTCCGCCTGAACTATTACTCAGGCCATTGTGGCTATTTGGCCATTGTCAACCCGTGGGGCTTTCAACCCAGACAGGCCACTAGAAAATAGGAGAGCACAAGGGTCAGCCAAAGAGGCTTTTGCAAAAGTTTCACTCGGTTAAAGATGGCCCAAACGTTTAAGAATTCCGCAATGAAAATGATTCAATTGTCAATGACATTGCCAACTGACGGATTGCCTGGTTTCCACATCACTCACCTGGGTGCGTCGTTTATCAAGGCCAGTTTGCCGAAATCATCCCCAGTCTTCAGTGTGGCAACAGTTCCCTTGCCGTGTATCACAACATCCACAGATCCCTTGAGTAAGATGTACCAGGAGCGTCCTTCGTCGCCTTGATTGAATACTGTTGTCGTAATGGGTTAAACGTGTTGAAGGATAAAAGTCGTGATTAGTGTTTAGAAATCTCGAATCCGCTGACTTGTTCCAGCTCTAATGGCTGACCCGTTTATTGAGACATAATTGGCTGGGTCTTAATTAAAATGTTTCCTCAACTTTTTTGCCGCTTCTCTCTTTGAAAATCACATCTCGGCAATCTGGGGAGCCATCGATTCTGCGGCCAGATACTCACATATTGTACCCGCCTGGGCATGAGCCTCGAACACGAAAATCGAAGACAGCTCCCGCTTGATGCTGGTCGATAAATGGGAGAGGGCGGCGATGTGGACCAGTTCCTCGAAGACCAGCTCCAGTTCCTCCGATGTCCTTTCGTGCGAACTGTGGGTCAACAAATGAAGAATTTTGTGATATACATCATTCCCCCAATGCATTTTCAGGTAACTTTAACTTTAACTTTCGTGACGATGCTAATGGCTACTCAATTGCACAATATATGACATTTTCATTAGAAACTTTACAGGTTAAATTAATTACTCGCACATCAAAAATAAGTTATTGTTCAACAGGGAGGATTCAAAATAAACAAGAGAATCTTGACCTCATTAAAGCTACTTTGCTGATAGTTTCCGAGCTCTCGACTTAGAATTCTGGTGGTTTTCGTGAATATTAAACCAATTTAGTTGTTTTTCATCAGTTTCAGCTTGTTCCCGAGTTGGAGAAACAAAAACGTATACGCCAAAGAAGGATATTCGTTAAATTAGATATTTTTTAAGGCCTATTTTTATTTACTTTGCTTCCAGTTTGGCTGACTTTTATACACTTTATACTGTCAAAAGTAAATAGTTTGTAAAGTAATTTAAAATTTTTGAGAATTTGTCGGCATGAGTAAAAAGAATTTTGAGTTTGACTTTAAAAAGTAAATCGAAAGTAGTTCCTTAAAAGATATCCATTATTGACTATTTTTGGTCCCTAATTTTATTTAAATAATTTATAATAAAATGTACTTTTTGGTGCTTAGGATACTTTTTGTTTAAGATCGAGGGTGACGCTGATTGAAAATCGGTCACAGTGGAGTCATACTTTTATTTTATCCGTCTAATATTCACAATTATTCTGCGGTACTTACGGCTTGCGCAATATCATACGCAGTGTGGCGTCAGGACCACGCTGGAAGAGTGCACTCAGCCCTTCGCGGATGTGTTCGTTTGCCGCTCCTAGATCCTCCGCCTGGGGCACTCCTGCTGCCGCCGTTCCGCCCTCCTCGTCCAGGCGAAAGCGGTACAGAAAGCACTTGTCCTTGAACGGCTGCTCCTTGTTGACTGCGGATGGGGTATGGATTTAGTCACTTATCTATGCCAGTGAGCATCAAATAGTCAGCAGTCAGAGTCAGAACTCACCGTGTGCGAGAACTCCTTCCTCGACGAGGGCCTGCCACATGCCCGCCGCCTGGGCGCGGGTGTGGACGATGGGCGAGAGGTTGACCAGCCAGTCGACGAGCTCGGTGCCGGGGGCGCACTTGCGGATTAGCTTGCCGGAGACCTGTCCGGGCGGGATAATTAGCATCGCAAAGGCGTTAAGCTCCACTCCAACCCCCCACACCCCCTCACACCCCCACACTCACCTTTCGATCCTTCAGACAGCTGGAGTTGTCGGCGACGAGTAGTATGCGTAGGGCCCAGCCCATACGGTTCATAGCAGGACTCGGCGTCTGTAAAGATTTCAAATTTCTTTAATTTCCCCATCCGAAAGTCCAGCTCATTTGGTTAGGGCCAAATGTCAAAGCCAGAGGAAATGTCCCAAACAAGACCTCTCCCCCCCCCCCCCTCATGAATAACACATAAATATTTTGTAATTCCCTTGACAGCTTCTGGAGCAGCAAATTAACTCATTTGTCGTCGTCAATGTAAGGACATAACATTTATAATATTTATGTGAGTTTCGAGGTGGCTTTTCTGTTGGCTGGTTTGTGTTCTTTGTACACTTTGTGCTCACCTCAGTAATGGGCAGCGCTGGGTTGGGATGGTCCGGGCTGAGAGGTCGCTTGGTGGGCGATGTAGCCGCGGCTGATGCCTGCACGGTGGGACCAAAACCTAAAAACGCACCCATGGTGTTAATAAATTGTTGTTATTCCAACTGTATAGCTTGTGTAATGTGAGTATAATTTGCTTATTCGATTTATGGGCACAGCCAGTAGCAGTTCGTGTGCTGTTTGTTTTCAGTTTCTAAATGATGATGAAGCTGTTTAATTTCAGTTCTCATAGTAATAATAAAGTCAGTCAAAATAAAAATAAACATTCGTATTCACGCAACCACTAAAGATAATACAAAGAATATTGTTTTCAAACAAAAATACAAAGACATTAATCACCTATGGAAGCTTTCTGATGAGTTAGTCATACGAGTACTAATTCTAGGATACTGTGGAATTCATTGTTTACATACCGTTCTTCAATTTGCAATTGGTGAAAATGTCATTCATTAACTCCTTGTTTTTCTGCAATGGAAAGCGTAAGTGTCCATTAATAAAGAGTGCTTATCGGTTGTTGCGAATTGTTTGCACTGGCAGATTCCAATTACGTTGCTCATTTCAAATGCCGTCGACTGCGGACGCGGCATGTGCCCCCGTTCCAGTCGCCTTCGCCGCTTGACGGCGGCGGAAGTGGCGCCAGCTGTGGCCTTGGTGGCTCCCAATGTGGGCGCCATCTGCTCCTCCCCGCCGCTGTGCCGTCGGTAGCGGAGCAGGAGGACGCCGGGGGTCAGGTCACTGCCGGCCACAATCTGGGTGGACCAGCGCTGCCGGCCAGCTGCCATGCGGGGCAGCCTTTGGGGTCACTTTCACTTGGAACTGGAGTTCGAGCTGGCAGGTAAGGTCTGCCAAACGCTTATTTGCCAACTGATAGCTTTACGCAGTCGACAAACACATAGAAGCCTCGTTGTTTGCAATCACTTATCAAGGAGAAGGGTTGCCGAAGCCCCTTCATTGTTCACGTTTCTAATTCTTTAACCCACTAACTTTTGACAACCAAAATGCTCCAATAAAAGCTCTTCAAGTGAATAATTAACAAAGAATTAACAAAAGAACTATTAATACTAGCAGAATATTATTCAGTCGCTAACAACTTTGTTTACGAATGTAAAGTCTGTACGATACCATTTTACTACTTTTAGTTTGAGCATAAACTCACCTGAACAAAAGATCAAGGAAATGAAAACTTGTATACAAAAATGTACTCAGTAAATTATTTTACCCCTGCAGTTTTTATAGAGATTTTATTTTTATAGTTTGGTTGATTCTGGTGATTTTTTGATGATCATTTGATGATTTTTTTTCTGATCAGTATAACTCTGGACATAAAAACTATATACAAAAAAAAAATGTTTAACTTTGAAGGGGTAATGAAATGAAATCGGCCCCCTTCTAATTTAATTTAAAATTTATAAAAAATTTCTTGAGGGCTTAGGGCAATATTTCATACATCATAAACATTCGTTTATCATTTGTTATCCAATCTTTATTTAAATGTTTTTAACTTTCCTTAAATTATTATTATTAGTTCCCATGATGTTTGAAAATGATGTTCCAAATCATTTTTCAAACTAATTAAACAGGGAAGGAAATACCGTGTTGTTCATAGACAAGGCCTGTCAACGTCCAATATTGTACATTTCTCTTTGAGTTTCTTTCGATTTCCTGTGCTCAATAAGACCCATTAGCTGAAGGTGGGTTAAAATTGGAGCCAAGACGCCTGGCAACACTTGAGTTTCTGTCCGCTGATAAGCGACAAACGCTGCGTTGGCGTCGTCGTCAACGCAAATTAAACTCACTTTGCTTATCAAACGCACAGCACGCCGAAATGAGTGCCACCCACTGAGTGGGCGTAGAAAGTGTTGAGGGGGAGGGGGTTTGAGTGGGTTGGGGGGGCTATAGGGGTTATAGGCCCTCGCCTTGAATGTCAGACACATTAATTGAACCGTGATGGTTTCTGACGAGTTATGTACTTCCAGGAAACTTTACTTTGCCTTTGATTGGAAAACTGAAAACAGATGCCATTGTGGCGATTTTATTATTAAATTTATATGGACCAAAAACAATGTTTTATACCGGGTAATCGAGGCGAATCATATAAATTAAATGGTATTGAAAAAGAAAGGAAACAGAAACAAGAAAAATTAAGGCTTTTCGCCTGATAATAAGCTCCAACGAGTTCATTATTAAATTTATATGGGCCAAAAACAATGTTTTAAACAAGGTAATCGAAGCGAATCATATAAATTCAATGGTATTGAAAAATAAATGAAATTGTAAGGAACAAGAATAACAAAGGCTTTTCGCCTGATATATTCATATAAGCTCCAACGACAAAGTCTATGCACATAAATTTCAAGAGCGCTATTAGCTTGAAAAACTGTCTTCCTAAAAATGGCTCATAGATAAATATATTTTAGTGGCCACCAGTTTCCAAGTTTTCAAGCTATTTGCTTAAAACTTTTCCCGAGGATTCATTGTTTTGCTTGGAGAAAATATGTTAGAACGGCTAGAGCGTGGCAGCCATTACCATTTAAAATGCAAACAAATTTGAATGAGACCATCTGAGTGTACCACATTGCCACTTTTAATGGTTTTATGATAATAAAATAAATATATAACACTGTAAACACTCCCGTTTATGATATTCCTAGGGCGTTTTGCCACTTCTGGCGAAAGTTTGACCGTTTAATCTCAAACTCAAGTCTTAAAAACAATATTAAGACCCGCTTAAATAATTTGGCAGGTACAGACTTCTTTGGACTAAAGAAAACCGTTTTGGGAAAATATACAAAGCATCTCTTGGTAAATATCGCAGTTTGTTATTTTCCGTTTGGTAAAACAATGAAAAAAACTATCTGCAAAAATACTTCAAATTCTCGTTTCTTTCTTGCAAGTTAACCAAAAGGAAATCAGTGCAAAGCACTACCAAAGAACTGAAGAAACTGTTGAGTAAATCCTGTGGATTTACCAGAAGTGTGTTCATTGAACAGTGTTCACAACATAGATGCAATTTAAATTGAGCGGTGCAGCAGGCACTTTGATGACTCAAGTGAATTTGTCTCCTCCTGCGCCAAAGGCTTCGAAATCCTTCAGTGATCCCTGTTCCCCATCCTGTCCATCCCCTCAACCCCCCACACATCTATCTCCCTTATGGGTTCACATGTGCAACTTGTGTTTATGCATAAATAAATAACCCCGTGACCATGGACATGCAACTGTGCATGCAAGCCACACGGGGCTCTCAATAGAGTCGGCTGCAATATTTATGGGCTGTATATTACGCAGACCACATGTTTGGCAATGCCGCGGTTGCATCAGCGGCTAGAACGGCATTTGGGCAAACGCAGAACACGCCCGAAATTAAATGCAAATATTTAGCAATCAAGTGGCATTGAATCGCATTAAGCGTAGCACCCGCCAATTGAGTTATATTCGCACACTCAGCAGCAATCTGAGAATTTACCGCGAGTGCCAAGTGTAATTTCCGCCATTGATTACGAGGCGGCCATGCAAGACTTACATCCGACTTCGTCCGTCGTTTCGATTTGGAATTGACTACTACATTTTTACAATCGCAATCGCAATCCCAATGCCAATCCCAACCGCAATTCCAATGCCAATCCGAGGATTGCTGAAACGCTTGTCCGGAATAATTGGCAGCCATTCAATGGTAAGTGGCTGCTAGTTGCTAGCTGGTTTGGTATTCACTTTTGTGCCCTCTAGGTTTTGGGTGAAACGAGACTGGTAATTAACCCGAAATTCCCTTTCACCCGCCATATGGGACTACAATTGCTTTCACTGACATTTTCAATTTGGCCACTCGAGCAAATATTTGCGCACAAATCAAATGCTCGACTATGCCAAGGGGCACAAAGTGGCGGGCGGGAGCCAAGGATGACAAGTTCCATGAACTCAATGGCTTATATCCCTTACACTCTTACGAATATTTCTCCTATTCCCTTTCGATTCTCCCCTTGATTTTATCGCATTTACGCAGTGGCAGTGGCAGTGGCAGTGGCTGAGAAAATTCCCCAGTTCGCATTTTTATGGTACTGCAACCATAGCATCGAAGCAGCCACCGCCCACTTTCACTCCATTGTTGCACACTGCGTATACGTGACATGTGGTGGCCCTGCTGTCGCAGCTACTTTGTTATCGTTGGGTTCAACTGGAGCTGCCTTTCGGTAAGCCAATGTTGGCATAATGTTGCAAAATAGTATATGCCCCAATTTGAGGTTTGGCTCCTGCTCGTTTTTCCGTCCTCCTAACAAATAAGGTAAACACACGTCCCTCACTAATTCTGGTAGCTCGAATGTGTGTGGCGGGGTTTTCCCTTTTGTACCTTTTGTGGCTGCCACAGGGGATGACTTCGGGCCCCTGGCTGAATGGCATTGTTAGTGGGGTCTTCGAATTTAACACAGAAATTCACATCGAGTTTTGCATGCGGGCACTGGCAGAAATAAAGTGGATATCACTCCCGCCCAAGATTTGATTACCCAATCGAGGTATTTCGTGTATGGCAAGCTCTCTAAGGTGGAGCCTGATTCAAATCGAGAAGTGCGGCTTCCGTTTTCTTCAGTGGCTTTTTCCCGATTATGTGGGTCCCTCAAATATGTACATTTTGGCATGTGTAAGCCATGTTGCGGTTGACTATGGCCAAAAAGATGCTTTGCCAAGGGTCTTTGCCACATTCCTGCCTGCCTTGTGGCTTGCCTAATGCAAATATAATTCCTTTTCCGGTCAAAGGCATTCATCCAATCGAACCGTTTTGAGTAACCAGTTTGGTTCAGTTGAGAGCCTTTCCAATTAATTATCCTATCGCTTTGTCTGTACTCATCGAGTCCTGTCATTTCATTCAACTGTCCGTTGACATGCAACATAGGCATAAATAATGCATTGCACTATTCATTCTAATGCCGTCCGCACATAAACGTAGGCGAAACAAAGAACTACTTAACCCACAAGAGAAACTTGGCTTAATTCCCCACTCTGCGGCAAAGCCAAAGCACTTAACACCGGAGGCCCAAATTGCTTGCCATGTGTTCGGGCTTAGGCCTGGAACTTCATTAGGAAAAAGCTGTTCACGGGCCCAGGCTCGTCCCTACGAGCATCATTAAATGTTAATTGAAATTTTAATTAAATATTTTCGACAATGACGCAGGAATACCGCAGATAGTCGTTGCCCCTGCCTCTCACATTTCTGCATATCATTTTAGCAACTCATGCACAGCTGCTCATTTAAGGAAGGGAACCGAAGGAGAGCAGATGGATTGATCCTTTGGCAGGATTCGAGGAACTTACCTCCCAAATAAGTCGGAAGTCCTGCTGCTCCACGCGCAGCAGTTCGCAGGTCGTCTTCGTCACCACAGTGCTGTCCCGCGGCAAGTCGTGCAGTACGGACTCCCCGAATGTGGCACCCACTCCCAGGTTGCACAGTGTAACGGCGCTCTGCAAATAAATAGGGCCAGGATATCAAGTTAGAAAGCGCTTACATTGTGGGTTAAGTATGTGTTTTCAACACCCGGTACTCCTTCGAAGCAAGGGTATGCTGCTCTTAAAAGGAAATGTAGAACTAAGTGATTTTGTTTTCAGAAAATATTATTGTTACCCAGCAGTGTGAGCTGTGATCATTCTCTTAAAATCATATTTAAGTTTCGCCCACAGAACACACAGCACATAGTTTAATAACTGGAGAATGATTTGAAGCCAATTACGATTAACACCCTTTAATTTACATGTTAAAGTTTGTCACATTTCGATTAACACAATAACATTACTTTGTACGCTAACAAAGTTGGATAATGCATAATTAATAACTTGTATAAAATAGAAGTGCAAATTAAATTCGATTTCTATGCCTTCAGAGTATATTGTATCTTTCGATAAATAAGAAAATAATTACGTAGTAAGAAAATATAAAACGAAAAATAGAACCAGTCAATGGATATAGAATTTTTTATCGACATTTTATAGCAAATTTTAAATTAAATTGCGTGTGTGTAGTGGCCAGACTTTGTTTTCCCATTCTTGCCTAGATTTCCGCTAGATTTCGATTCATTCTCAATTAAGTGAGGAGTATCACTAAGTCGAACCATGGATTACTGTGGTATATATAATATTTATCTCTGAAACTTAAGCATTCTGTGGTGGCTTGACTGCTCCAGACTTGGCTTCTCTTCTGCTGTCTCCTTACACAATTAACGCAAATGGCCGCAATTTGCTCGTGGTGGCATTAGACATGACAAACATTTGCTTAAAACTCTGTAATCGCTCCATTGTCGCTTAGCCCGCAGAAGCCACAGGCAGTGAAAAGCTGGAGATACCGAAAAGAAAACGGGAAATGCAACAAAAGCGGAAATGCAGGGCCATTCGATGTAACAAATGCGGCTTTTGGCTGTCTAACCGCAACATTGCAATGACATTTTCAATTACCCAGTTGCGTTTGCATCTGCGTTTAGACTGTTTGTTTTCCCACCAGACTTCTTGGAGTTCTGGGCCCTTCTTGTTTTTGAATCTTGGCTACTAACCCGAGGGCTTTAGCGGCCCCATTTCGACGACCAAGAAACTGGAACCCGAGAATCCGAGAATGCGAGATGTGGAGCCCTGCCGTGTAATTGGCTTAACAAGACTTGAGAAATTGTTAAACTCACATTAGCTGGCACATGTGTGTGTGTGGTGTGTGCACAGTTATTACACCGCATGGAGACCATAAAATATACTTTAATTAATTCCCGCTCCGTGTAATTACAGTTGCTGTTGGGCCACCTTTTCTTTTGGCCAACTCCGCAGCAATCGCAAATCTCATTCGCTTTTCTCGTTGATTTATTGCGGCTTTTGTCTTTTGACAAGCGTCAAAAAGAGTCTGCAACACCCCTCCCCGCGTCCATATTAAATTTGATTGCTTTCTAATTTATTGCAGCATTAAAAGTTGACCCACAGACACAGAAAGAGAGAGGGATAGAGAGAGAGAGAGAGAGAGGGAGACAAAAGGAAGTGAAAAGCGGCCATCCGACTGAAATTTGTCCACCAGCATTTCCCTTTTGTAATTTCCTTAAGCCGGCGAGAACCGAATTGAATTTGCCGCCCAAACAATAATATTTGGAAAGCTGCCAGCTTTGTGTGTTTGCCAGTTGGGAAAAGCAATTTGTTGCTTCTGATGTAATTTTATGATTCGAACCTACAAATAAATTTAACAAGAGTAACACAATAATCTGAATTTTACTAGCTTCGTTGCAATACATTCATGGAAGATAGATATTTATTTGCTTTCTTAATTTGTATTGGCAGCCTAGTAAATCATGGCATGCAATGTCTACATGAGCAAAAGAATATCAGACTCTGTAAATGAAAATAAGTCCACAATGATCGAAGCTGTTTAAAATTTTGGAAATAACATATTCAATGTTGTATCACAAAGAATTCAAACATGTTGTGTACACCTAAGCCGAATTCTTGAATTTTATTATGACCCTATTTTCCATCTTCATTAATATTATTGTAGGATTTGGACAATGCAAGTTTATTGGGTTTCTTGAACAATTTTTCATATAATAGGAAAGACATATCTCCAAAGTTAAGTAGGACTAAAAGTAGATTTTAATTAAGAACAATTTCCTACACTTCCTTTACTTTAAACCAAATAGGAAGAAAATAGCTTTCCTCAGTCACAGTTTTTCGCTTTTATATATTTAAATACAATTTGTCGTTATACATTTTTCCAAACACAATTTTTTCTTCAATTAAATTTAGTGGTTTGCGTTGGCGGAAGTGAACAATAAATGCGAAATCCCGTTTTGGGCATCACAAGAGTCTATTCAATCCCATTTATATAGCTCTTATAGTTTTCAGGTTATTTTTTTTAGTACTCTAAAGGCTAAATGTATTATATAACATTTGTGCAAATACAATAAACATTTTCTGTTTACTACAAATTCGTGTACAAATTACTAGGAGGAACATCTATCGGTTTTGAGCCCAGCTTTTATTCTCTCGTCGAACTCGATTGACACTTAAGTTGATGTCAAAAGCTAAAATAATAAAACGTTTCAGAAATATTGTTATCACTCTGCAGCAAAATACTCTTATTGCCAGCTTATATCTACGTATGGGTTTTCGTATCTATAACCGTATGTAAGCACGTACATTTTTTCTTGTTTTCGTTTTCGCCACTGGATCTTTTACATAAATGTGGGGTTTGCAATGCAATGTTTTACCTTTGCATAATGTCGCGTTGATTGCTCCACGTTATACGTACAACTGCGACGGAACAACATTTTCCCTCTTTGTCTTTCGCACTTCTCTCTCACTCACTCACTCACTCCCACCGCCACTGGAATTCAGTTTCTGGATTTTGGACAGTCGTCGGGCAGTTTTGCATATTCAAATTTGGCTGAGCGACATTTGAAAATATGAAAAACCCTCAAAAAAAATACAAACACGTTACCCGGATTAAATGGAATTGTTGATGTTTTTGTTTGGTCTGTTCGTCGCTGCTGCTTTTGATTGCAGGTCGCGAACGTGAGGTCAAAAGAGCGGTCTGCCACTAACTAAGGTAAAAGCCAAAGGCACGCACTGCCAAAAATATGGGCAACCAGTCCGGGCCACATGCTGCACAACTGCCATTGATAAACGACATGGAAGCGTGTCACGGCGGTCTTCAATTAAACATTCTTTTTGCGAATTCCCGACCCCGTGTGTCGTGTACCACTCCGATTTCCACACTCGCCTCCAGCAGCAACTTTTCCGACCCGTCTCGAATTTGTCCAACCGCACGGCGACGACTCGCAAAGCGAACTGAAATTGAAGTTGAAGCCCGCCAACTGACGGCGGCAGTAGCAGCAACAGAAAAGAAAATCAGCGGAACCAGCAGAGATTCAGTTGCATGTAGCCGACTCTTGTGTGCAACTCCCTGTTGCAAGTTGGTGCAGTGAAGCCAACAGCCACATGTGCAGCGGCAACGTAGAGCGACTGGTTAATTGGGCCGTTCTATGCGATGACAGCTCAATTGACCAAATCTGTCTCATATTCCCGATGCCATTCGCTAACTGACAGCCCAATTTTCGCTATCACAAATGAAGCCAAATATTAGGTTTGATTTATAGTGATTGATTGTAGGTACTTGAAAATGAAAGGCTATAATTCCACGTTTAAAGGTTCTAAAGCCGAAATTGGAGTACTTACAAATAATGATATTCCCTTTTTCGATTAACAAAGAATTTTCTTTGCTGAAATATCGAATTTCATTTGGTTTTCATCAAATGCCTTTTCCTAATTCCCTACATTTCTTAAATATTATCTTTAAAAAACGTTTTTAATATTAAGGTTAGCTAAATTTAAATAAGCAAAAAAAAAAATTAACTTAATTAATTTCTAAAAATTTTTATCAAATTAAATTAAATTAATTTGTGCACATTACTGCGTGCTGTTCATTCTTTTGAAACTATACATTTATATTCCTTCCAAATTTATTTGTTTTGAGAAATGCAGCAAATAAACATTGCAAATATATTTTTAGCTCAGAAATTTTGGAATCGAGAAACTAATTTGCAAGGTTAAATATCGCTCTAATAAATTTTGTTTAAAATATAGTTTGTAAATTCAAATGTACCAAATGTTGATGTATCACAAATAATATACACAGAAATAGATTTTGTGATACATATTTTCCTTGCAGTTAGGGCATCTAAAATTTGTTGTGTAGATGAAAGTATTTTATTTCGCAATTTGGCTGTTGTGACAGCCTTTGCGTTCGCTTGATGCATGCAATTAATCCGCGCAAAAGCTCCGGGCCAAGACCGTGGCCATGTCCACGTCCATGTCGGTGTACATGTACGGATATGGATCAGTATCCACAGCCATGGCTGATAGCGATAGTGGCAGTGAAACCCTAGCCCAATCCCTGGCCATGCCGCATGCACCTACAGCATTGTTTTTGGCCAAATGTCCAGTATCCCACGTCCATGTCGACTTTTTGTTTACTGCCGCGCTTGAAAAACTTTTTACGCACATATGAGCACGCTTCCGTCCGTTGCAGCTGTTGATGTTGCTGCTGTTGCTGTTGCTGTCGTTGCAACAATTGTTGCTACTGTTGCTGCTGCAGTTTGTCTCGAATTGCAGCTGGCACTCTGGCCAATTCTGTTGGGCAAACAAGGATGTGGACTTAACTTTGGGCGATGGCCGTGCGAATGACTTGCTTTGATGATGCTCGTGCTAATGGAATTTCAGATGAGATGATGCTGGATGGGAATTTGAAGCTCTCTACCTAAAAACTACTGAAAAATTGTGGCTTTTAATAACCGAAATACTTTATTGTTCAGGTTGAATAACCTTGACACTTTTATTTTTGTTATGCTTTATGTCGGTGGTTTTTGCACTTGTTTTTTGTTTAACCACATTTGTTTCTTGCGGGCTTGTAATTAAATTTATTTCGCCCTCCTACGGTGAAGGTAAAGAGCCGACTTGCAGACCAAGTCAATGACTGCTCACAATGCTCATAAAAAGCGAGTGAGTGTGTATCCGCCAGATACAAGTACTAAATATCTCATCCACAAAAAATATTTGCTTTCCTCGTTTGAGGTGTCTAAATAAATCATAGGCTGTGTTTGTTTGTCTAATTAATTATGCTAATTAGGTCATCAGTTATTATTTTAAAACATAGCAGTTGTTTGCGGTTTTTAATCAACCTATTAGTTTATAAAAAAAGTTAATTCGACAAGTGATGAGCTAATGATATGAGTCAAAACCAACAAGGGAGGATATAATTAGTTTTATCAAATTACATTTTATCTTCATATTCGTAGAACCGTTAGAGTCGTGCTCATTATGGCGCACATTTTACACGCCCTCAGTTTTCCCAGCTTTCGGCACTTGCCTCAATTTCCACGCGTTGCATGCGGCGGTGACGTTAGATAAACATTTCCCTACCTGCATAATTAAAAAGTTTATGGAGTTTTATTAATCCAAAAGCGCCGTGAAAAATACATTAAAAATACTGCCCTATTTGCTGCGTGCCAATGCGACCCAAAAAGTTGATTTCTCATTTCAAACCATTAAAAAAGAAAGCTCAAAGTTTTCAATTTATGCATTTTGAAAAGAATGTTTTATGGCTTTAAATCACTAACACGCCGATTGATGCTGAAAACTTTCGTTATGTCCGAAGCACTTTCTTGGCTCGCTTGCAGTTGTAAGGCAAATTTATTTGTTCTTTTTATAAATTTAAAAGTATGCAAACTGAAAAATAAGAATTTCTTGGCCTGGAGAACAACTGGAAGCTTAAATCACACAATCGAACAGTAAGTAGAAAAAGTTTCTGTGGCGCAAAACACTAAGAAATGGTTTCATGCTTTGCTTGGACCCTGAAAAACTTTTTGTAAATACAAACGAAAGATAAGAATTTTATTATTAAAGTGCGTATTTTATCTGAATTATAATCAATTGTGATAGCAGGTCATTTTATCAAGTAAATTAAAAGTATGATTACAACCTCATCGTTAAAGTAATTTTAACAAAATTCTAATAAGAATCATTGATAACTAGACTTGATAGTTAAATACAACTATCTCTATTGTCAGCCATTATTTTTGTAAATTATTTTATTCTATCATTTTAAACTGGTACTTATAGTAGAAACACCACAGATAACTGAAGTGGAATTCTGTGATAACGGGGAAGACTTTAGTATTATTTAAGCTATAAAAGTTATCTCATCGCCTTAACAAGACATTGACATTTGTGTACTCCTGAAACTTGGTTGTGTAATTTTTTTTCTGGGTACATACTGCCTAATCAGGTAAAGCCAGGTACAATTAGTCGACTCGTGTTGCATGCTTCACCGCCATATTTTAATTTGGGGTTTTCACTGCTATGGTTGAGCAACCCACCGAGTGTGGTATGAAGTATGCAAAACATTAGAGCGTCTGGGAATATTAATTAACTCAGCTCAGCTATATAGCAGCGGAAAGTCAATGACTTCAACAACACAATGACTAGCCAGGTGGCGATTCGTGTGGCATGCTGCCATAAGAAAATACACTTAAGCCCGAATGCAACTTATGAATCTGCATATGTCATGTGAACAACATTTGTCTAAATGCATCTTGTTGGTAAGCAAACAAGTCGTCCAAACAGTAAACGTGTGCGATTTACCATATTAAGGCAAGGAACATATGTCATAGATTTTACATTTTAAGTTTTTTGGCTAATGCTTGCTTAGACTTTAGTTTCTATATTAGTAAGAAAGTGTAAAAATTGAAGTAAATATATTTTTGAGTTTTTACTAAATATTTCACCAATTCTAAATAGCTTACTGATAAGTAAAACTCGAACTTTTTAATAAAATAACACATTTATTTACAATAAAAGTTAGAGGTTTTACAAATATGATATAAAAATCTCCCTTCTTCTATGGCATGTATAATCAGTACAATATGTCTTCAGTACAAAATATCACAAGGTGTTGATGAACAATTGAGAGTTCAATTGAACACGAATTGTGAAAACGTCATTTTAAGTCGTCTATATCAAATCCTTAGCATAAGGAATATACAATGGCAAATGGGATATTGAATTTAGATGCGCTCCAACTTCAAGTAGATGCCACCAACTGTGCCCAATACGATGGACATGGGGGTGTACTTGAGTGGGATCTCAGTCTGGTCGCAAACGGACAGCTTGAACCTGCTGATGATCTGGGCCAGGCCAACGCGGACTTGCATCTGGCCAAATCGCATTCCAATGCAGTTTCGCGGTCCGTCGCCGAAGGGCAGCCACTCCACGGAGTCGCGAGCGGCCACTTTCTCCGCCGAGAAGCGGTCCGGATCAAAAGTCTCGGGATCGGGATAGAGATCCTCGTCGCGGTGATAGGCACAGGCGGGGATCAGGATCTGGGTGCCCTTCTCAATCACAAATTTGGGATTACCCGGCACCACGTAGTCGTTGAGGGCCTTTCGCTCGAGGTGGGGCACCAGGGTGTACAACCTTAGGGTTTCTAAGTTGCGAGTTGCAATCAGTAAGAGATTCGCATTGGGACATACAAAAATAAAACCAACCTGAGATAACCTGGTTCAAGTAACGCATAGCCTTCACGGATTCATAGGTCAGCTGTCCCTCGTGCTCCTCCAACACCGACTGGATCTCTTCCCTCAGCCTGTCCTGAATGCCCTGGTTCTGGGCCAGCTCGTAGAGACAGTAGCTCATGGTGGAGGAGGAGGTCTCGAAGCCGGCCACATAGAAGACAAACACCTGGGCGGCCAGCTCGCCAATGTTCATTCCCTCGATCACCTCACCGTTGTCCAGGGTGACACGACCCTTCTGCTTCATCTCAATCAGCAGGTTCATGAAGTCGTTCCTCTTGAAGTTCTCCCGTTCCCTGAGGGCAATCGTGTCGTTGACCAGGCGCATGAAGAACTGGTGGACATCCTCGGGGAATATACGCATCCTCAGCCTCTCCGCCAGCCTCGGGAAACTGAACATGAACAGAGTGAGCAGTTTTCCGTGGCGCAGATCGGTGAACACCTTCTGCCCCATTGTCCGGAAATCGGTTACTGGAGTGCGGAGTGTGTTGCATTCAATACCAAAAGCACAGGTGCCGATCACATCGGTGGTAAAGCGGGCCATCAGCTCCTTGATCTCGAGCACAGTTCCATTTTGGCTCGCCGGCACCTGCTCCGTCATCACCTGGACAAACTCCTCGGACACCTTGATCACCGAGGGGAACATGTACTTCATCTTGCCCGAGGTGAAAGTGGGCGACAGTCGCTGGCGCATGTCCTTCCACTTCTTGCCGTCCAGGTTGAACAGGTGCTGGGTGAGCGGATCGTCGCGTCCGTTGTGGAACTGGCCGCGATCGGCGAAGTTGGAGAAGTCCTTGATCAGTATGTTCTTGGCCAGCTTGGGGTCCACAATAAAAGCGGCCGGCTTGTGCAGGAAGTAGAATCCCACAAATGGGTTGCCGCTCTTCCGGTACTTGTTGTAGTAGTCGTAGAAGAAGTCGTGCATCACGCGGTCCTTTCGGAATCCCACCATGTTGCCGTACAAAGGATGAGGGGCATCGTGGGCCACACCTCTGCGCTTCCAGTAGTTGAAATTGCGGTGGTACAGGTACGCCAACAGCGATGTGACCGCGATCACCAAATAAATTATGACAAGCATTTTGTGGAGCTACTCCCGTTTAGCATTCGTCGTACTCGATCAACGACTAATTACTGATCAGCACAATACGTTCCGGGCCATTTTATACGGTTCGCCAACAACGAAACGCACTAGCACGCGACCGTACAATAATATAAGGCGATTATAAACATCAGCATGACTTGACAAATTGCTAGCTGGCAGTCATGATTACAAGCCCAGCGATAACGCCAGGTTCTTTAAGTAAGAGATTTTCTAAGAGATATTCAAACGTTCTCTTCACGCCTCTCTGTACGCGGAATCAAGTATAAACAAGCGATACCAAACCAAATATAAACAAGCGATACCAAGTTTGTTGTTAAACAAACCGGTTTGATGCTCATGTAAATATAATAACTAATTCGCATCACGGGTTTTGTATCATTGTAGACAGAAACAAGCGATAAGACTTCGGTGATTATAAAAAGAAACCAGACGGTATGCTAAATTACCTCGACTATCAGATGCTCGTTCCCTGTTAACCAATATCAAGTAAATTTACAATTCTTGCTAATGGCGCTATCAATCTAGTATGTGCAGAAGCATAAGCTCGATTTAAATAACAAATATTCGATGTGTCGAACAATATTGTTTGATTAAATATATATCAAACAGAAACTTTCCGCCACAGTAATTGCTAACTTTCACTACTTAGGCACTAAAATTACCTGACAAATTGATAGACATAAAGCAAATATCTCAAAAACATCAGGAAATATATTATAACAAGAAAGGAAAGCTAACTTCGGGCGGAGCCGAAGTTGAAATACCCTTGCAGAATATTCTGCAAATTATATTCTCCAAAATTATTCATATGATGCATTCTTAATACTCATAAAAAATCCCAACTTCCTAACTTTAAAAACACCAAAGTTATGGCATTTCCAATCGTTCAGTTATGTATATGGCAGCTATAGAATATAGTCGGCCGATCCTTATGAAATTTGATATGTCGGATTGATTAGGCAAAAATAAAACCCATAGAAAATCCCAACTTCCTAACTTAACAAACACCAAAGTTATGGCATTTCCGATCAATCAGTTATATGGCAGCTATAAGATATAGTCGGCCGATCCTTAAGAAATTTGGTAGGTCGGATTAATTGGCCAAATATAAAACCCATAGAAAATCCCAACTTCCTTACTTTACAAACACCAAAGTTATGGCATTTCCGATCAATCAGTTATATAGCAGCTATAGGATATAGTAGGCCGATCCTTATGAAATTTGGTACGTCGGATTGATTGGCCAAATATAATACCCATAGAGAGTCCCAACTTTCTAACTTAACAAACAGCAGAGTTATGGCATTTCCGATCAATTAGTTATATGGCAGCTATAGGATATAGTCGGCCGATCCCGGCCGTTCCGACTTATATACTGCGTGCAAAGAAAAGAAGGGCGGACAGACAGACGGACAGACAGACGGACAGACGGACATGGCTATATCAACTCAGGAGGTGATCCTGATCAAGAATATATATACTTTATAGGGTCGGAGATGTCTCCTTCACTGCGTTGCACACTTTTGACCAAAATTATAATACCCTCTGCAAGGGTATAAAAAGGTAGATTTAAGTCGTCTTAAGCTTGAGTTAAAAAGGGATTTACCTGAATTTGTGAATAGTAATTGAAACTTAATTTAATCGGGAACCTTATTAGAGGGTATAGCTTTTCTACATTTTGCAGTTTCACAATTCTGTGAGCTTAACTCCCCAATTATGCTTATGGTTAACGTTAACCGCTCCCTGGGTTTCATCCTAAGGAGGTTTAAGCCGCTTAGGATGTGCATTTGTCCCGCGTAATCCCTTTTTTCAGCCGGCGGAGGGAATTGGGAACTCTAACGCGATTATGGCGGATTTATTTTCTCCATTTGGAGGAAGCGGATACGATGCGCCAGCCGAGGCAATATTGACCTTGTGCATCACTTATCACAAGTTGCTAGAATTATTGGCATAGCCTCGGGGCGGGAAAGGGTCCTTGTCTAAGAGTGTCCTTGGCTGTCATTGTCTAAGACACTGTGTGTGCGAGTGCCACTGTGGCTTACTTGTGCAACTGACACTTTTATATCCCGGAGTCTGAGCTGCAGTGTGGCGTGAAAAAGTGAGCAGCGGATTCACTATTCCCTGTCTCTCAAACTTTAATTCCTCCAGCTTGACCTTGAGGTGCTCAGTCTCGGCCCACATGTGTCAGGCCCGCATTTAGATGGGAAACGAAAATAATGCAAAACGAGGCGTTCTCGGCATAATGAAGTGCACAAAAAGAAACAAAGAATGCATTGAGGAAGCGGCAAGAGAAACCTAGATTGCCTCCTCTGACTGCACTTATGCGCTAAATAAAAATGCAAATCTAAATGCAGCTAAAGAGCAGGGAGAAGGGCCCCAAAGAAGCCAGGCAAACACAAAGAAGAACCCCACGCCGGCGGCGCACACAATGCAGATTCCTCAAGAATGCACTCGAGGGCCCTCTAAGTCGACATCTGACTGCTGAATGCTGATGTCGCTGCTGGATTGTTGTCTTTGGGGAGACAGCTTGGCTAATTGCAGATGCGACTGCATCTCGGAGACTTCTTGTAAACAGTCGGCTAATTGTTTGCTCTGCAGAGGTGTTGGGCCCCGAAGACAGCTCTTTCAAATGCAAATGCTGGCTGTTCCGGGGTAACTTCAATCCCTCCAATCCGCCATCCCCTATCCCCGAACCCCGATCCCCTCCAGGCTGTGTACTACATGTGGCAGAGCGTGCGCCCTGAATAAATTAGTTTTATTTGTGTCTGGATGTCGGGCAATCTAAACAAATCGTGGGGCAGAACCGGGTTTCTGCATTTCCTGTGGAGTGACAAAATGATGTTGCGTCTGCGTATTATGTAAATCACAATAAGAAGCCAAATCGGAAAACGGGACGGAAAGAAAACGGAGGAGATGGGCAAAATCTCTTATATAAATTCAGAGACACACAGGGAAATGAGGAAGAAGCCCTCCAGACAGAACCCGACCTTTTCCACCATAATCGTCATAACACTGTTGATAAAATCATAATAGGCTTTGCCAGGGGGCAAATAAGGTTCACGTAGAACGAACAGCAATTAAAGCCTCCCCAGGCACCGAGTATAATTAGCTGCCAGGATTCCATTTTGTCGCAGGACGACAATGGCGGGATTTTTCAATCACTAGGAGCAGCAGGATGATGGCTGATTGAATTTCTGGGCTGACATATTCGAGCCGTGATTGTCGTCTGGCGTGTGTGGCAGCTGCTGCTCCATATTGATTCGATGCTGATTGCGTGCCAAGGGCTTTGTCTCAACATCAGATCTTCAGCATCTTCGACGGAAGCCATAAAAAGCCCGACTGGGCGCGATGCAGTGACAAGTGCTGGGTCAATGTGTCAAAAGAGAGAGCCCCAATGTCGCTGTCCATCAGGCGGGATGGCACAAGTTGTCACTCAAACCAGTGGCCAAGTTGCAAAATTGTTGACTTATGTCGCTGCAACTGGAGCATGGCACAGAGAGATTCGCTTTTACGAGAGGTGATAAACCGCTCGCTTGAAAGCGCCGTGAATATGTTTTATATGATGCTCTGACGGCACCACGTGGCGTATACGCACTTTAAACCAAAATTGCCTTTTATGCCGTGAATACAGAATACAGAAACAGAACACAAGGCGAACCCAGAAGGCTGCACAGCTTTGGCCAAATAAATGACAAAGCCATTTGTAATGAAATATTAAAGCCGGCAATAAAAAGAAAGGCTGAGGAGGAGGGGGGTGGCCACAGCGGGAAATGGGCCGGAAAACATCAGCATTATACTTATTCATTATGCTGCTGGTCTAGGAGTAGGCGTATTCGCATTTCCATCCCATTTTATTTTCGTGGGCGGAGGAGCGGGCCCAACACGGAGCGTTAACACAAATTTTATTGGACACACGGCACATAAACATCAAGAACATCGGGCAAATGGGCCGAAAGCAGGGTAAAATCGATACTCATATGGCCTTATATGTGTGCAGTGCAAAGATCTGACCGAAATCGTAAAGTTGCAGTTTCCACGGCACAGGTGGCAGATTTTAAATGGATTAAATAAAACGTATCAGAAATCAATTATTCAAATGAACTCATATTCAAGCATCCAATTAAATTTTCATTCAAATGAAAACAAAGTGTGTTTTCAAAAGGAAATTAATTGTTTTCCGCTTCTCGTTTTGGCAAATCTAGTTTTGGGCCACAGCAGAAAATATAAATTTAACTAGCTACCAACGTTGACGACAGCAATTCACGATTGCCCTTTATGGGCATGTCGAGAAATAAGGAAAAGAGTATGATTTTGAACGAAAACCTTTTGAAGTTGTCACTGCCAAAGTGGCTGTTGGTTTGGCTTTTACTGCCAACTGACTTGGCTTTTTCCCCCCGGCTTTTAGCCACCGAATTGTAAATTGGGCAAAACGCATGCCGCCGAGCAAACTTTTCCCATGATTGAGAGCAGAGCGAAAAAAGTCGATAAGAATATTGTTTAACTCAATTCCGCACGAGAATCTGAACTCAACCCGATTTGTTGATAAAAAGTGAAAGTGAAAAAAGCGAAAAGGGAAAAGGGAAAAGGCAACAAAACGTCGTTGGCAGTGGAATCTCTACCCCTAAGCAATCAAATTGAAAATTCTCCATTGTGCAAATATTGATTTTGTGCGCTGCATAAAGTTTTATGCGCCAAAAAAGAGAGAGATCCCAAGTAGAAATAAAGGGAAAATTTGCTTTCTAATTTGCACTGCGATAAGCCAAACGTTAAGAGCCATTCCTCATCCAGCTCTGAACTTGGACTGCCACAAGTGTCTGGGGCAAGGTCGAGTCTCTTTTTTGCGGCAGTCTCGTTCTGAGTTTTGTGCCCCGACTAATTCGACGCCTTCTGTCTCTCGAGTCGTGTGTTCCGAGTTTTATCTTTTTCTTCAACATATTATTTATGGTAATCGACATCAAATGCCGCCATTAAGCTTATTGCCATGGCAAGCGGCAGCAGCAAAAACGTTTTCATACTTTTTTGTTGCTGATTTTTTTTGC